TGCCCATCCGAGAGCCCGAGGGCGGCGTTCGCTGGTAAATAGAGAGGCTCTGGGTCCCTCGCTTCGCCGGTGGAAGACTTGGGGTCAGCAAGTGGACATGCGCAGCCGACGGGCTGGGAGGACCGACGCCTGACCCGTCTGTGCACCTGCTGACTTCCGGGGGCGCGTGCCTCGGCCCAAGTCCCGGTTCCAGAAACCTTGGTGGAAGAAGGCACCTGAACCTTGAGTTCCGGGCTGGGGAAGAAGAACTTTGTTTTAAGGCCCGCGTCCTCTGAGCCTCATCCACACCAAGAATGTTGATGGCGTGCGAGCTCTTACTCTTTAAAACCCTTCACTCTGTAAACGAGCGTAGCGAGGCAGTCCTACCTTCCTGGGGGCTCAGATCCTGGAATTCCGGCCACAGGTGAATGATCTCCTGGATGCACACACTTGGTAGAGAGGCTGGGATAGGTGTACAAAACAAGGTGAAAAGATCACCGTCCTGAGAAGTCAGGCAGCGGGGAGAATGGGCTCCGGTCAGTGAGCGAGGAAAACTAGAACTGGGTCTGAGCATCCTTGGTACGAGGGGTGGGGGAGCTTGCTGCAGGAAGAAATCTCTCTTCCCACTACGTGGAATGTGTAGGATGGGTTGCTCCCTTCTTTACTCTTTGACCTGTCCCTGGATATATTCATAGGAAAATCGAGTGAGCCTACAGTGTACTTAGCACCAGAGAAGGAGGGGGCTCCGGAAAGGACAAGGACTCCGCTAACTCTCATCGGTTGTATGCGTTGCTTCTCAGCTTTGAAGGCCAAGACCATAAATCAGAGCAACAGCTGTTGATGAGAACTTGGAAGATGGGTTGTCATTAGTCAAACCCACCATAGCACACAGCACATAAACCCAGCCAGGAGACGCAGCTGTCCTGGTTTGGGATGATTTTATCTCTTTTCCTGCTATTCAGCTACTTAGGAACTAACTTAGGTAAGGGTGTGGTGGTGGCTCCTGCTAACCTGCGCTTGAGCGGATGGCGGGAGAATCGCCCCTACTTCAAAACCTTGTAATAACAATAGTAATAATAGGCCGGACATTGGTGGCGCACGCCTTTAATCCCAGATCTCGGGAGGCAGAGGCAGGTAGATCTCTGTGAGTTTGAGGCCAGCCTGGTCTCCAGAGCGAGTGCAGGACAGGCTCCAAAGCTACACAGAGAACCCCTGTCTCGAAAAACAAACAAAAAAGTAATAATAATAATAATAATAATAATAATAATAATAATAATAATAGAAACCGATTTAGCAATTAGGTTTTCGAATGTGTCCACACTTGTTCTAGTGACAGCTCATCTAACCAAGGATACATGTTACCTTTCGCCAGATAGGAGTCTTCAGAGCTCAGTTCTCAACCCCAAACGGGGGTGCAGATGATGATGGGGAGCCTCTGAAACCAACAGTAGATAATCGCATAGAAGCATATTTGAGAGTAAAAGTCAAAAACCCAATGTGAAACACCACAGCTTTAGTTTTGAATGGCTACTTTTGACAGTCTGGACGTTTATTGAATTGTATAGACTTTGGATCTGGTTCATTTCATTGGTTTTTGTTTATGTTTTTGGTAATGATTTTTATAATAAAGTTTAAAAAATCTGGGATCAATACACTAAAGGGGGGCTGGAGAGATGGCTCAGAGGTTAAGAGCACCGACTGGCCAGGCGTTTGTGGCGCAGACCTTTAATCCCAGCACTCGGAAAGCAGAGGCAGGTGGATCTCTGTGAGTTCAAGACCAGAGTGGTCTACAAGAGCTAGTGCCAGGACAGCCTCCAAAGCCACAGAGAAACCCTGTCTCAAAAAACCTAAATAAATAAATAAATGAGCACGGATTGCTCTTTCAAAGGCCCTGAGTTCAATTCCCACAACCATCTGTAGTGGGATCTGGTGGCCTTTTCTGGCCTGCAGGCATTCATGCAGACAGACTGCTATATAAATCTTTTTTTTTTTTTTAATGCACTAAAGGGAAAAAATGATCACTTTAGAACTTGCTTAGGCAGATCAAAAGCTTGCAAAGGCATCATACGGCATGTATGTCTGTTTAAGGGTGTCAGATCCTCTGGAAGTGGAGTTAGAGACAGCTGAGCTGCTGTGTGCGTGCTGGGACTTGAACCTGGGTCCTCTGGAAGAGCAGTCAGTGCTCTTAACAGCAGAGCCATAAATGAAAATAAAATAAAAAAATAAAACAGATAAACACAGTTTCTAAGTGCATGTTAGAACAATGCCTTAATCTTTAATGAATAGTTAAATTTGTAGGTAAGGAAAATTTTTCATCAATGTCTGCAAGCTATTAGCATGCTTTACCTATGTTTATACCTATTAGGTATTTTAGATACGATATGCATGCTACGAAAAAGCATGACATCACTGGACCCGGCAGCAAGCCTCTGAATTCTCCTGCTTTGGATACCTTTAGTAGTCAAAACTTCAGTGAGAGGGTTAACATGTGAGATTTTTGGCTCTCCCTTTGACCTGAGTCCCATCCCTACGACTCACATGGTGGAAGGAAGGAACTGACTTCTGCAAGCTGTCCTCTGACTTCCATACATGTGCCATAGCATGCATACCCTCACACACATGCCACACATGCATTGGCACACTCAGTAAATAAATAAATAAATAAATAAATAAATGTATTTTTTAATTAAAAAGTCTTTTAGCTTTGTGGATTTTCTCTCCTGCCTTATAAGATAATTCTCTGTTCAAGGTTATTAGAAGTGCTGCTATCTTGGCCAGATTCTGCTGAGTTTCATTAAACTCTTACTAGCTTTTTTTTTTCCTCCCAAGATAGGGTTTCTTTGTGTAACAGCCTCGCTGTCCTGAAACTTTGTCCACCAGGCTGGCCTCAAACTCACAGAGATCTGCTTGCCCCTGCGTTCCCAGTGCTGGGTTTCAAGGTGTGTGCTACCATGCTCTGCTTTAATTTTTTTTTTTTTTTTTTTTTTTTTTTTTTTTTTTTTTTTTTTACAGGGTTTCTCTGTGTAGCTTTGGAGCCTGTCCTGGCACTCGCTCTGGAGACCAGGCTGGCCTCGAACTCACAGAGATCTGCCTGCCTCTGCCTCCCGAGTGCTGGGATTAAAGGTGTGCGCTACCAACGCCCGGCTAATCTTTTTTTTTTTTTTTCTTAATGAAGTCTAATTGTGTATCTTTGGACCTTACTATGTAGAAGAGGCTGGCCTTGAACCCATAGAGATCTTCCTGTCTCTGCCTCCCAAGTGCTGATATTAAAAGCAAGAATCACCATGTCTAGCAACTCTCAGACTTAAAAAAATAAGTAAATTCTCAATGAATAGTGCAAGTTCCTTGAGACTCTCAATGTTAAATTTTTTTTAAAGGACTGACTATTATTTTCAAGATTGATTCTCACTATGTAGCTCTGGCTGTCCTTGTAGACCAGGCTGGCCTTGAACTCACAGAGAAATTAATTTTTGTTATGTGTCTGTGTGTCTGTGTGGTGTCTGTATGTGAGTCCAGGCATCTGCAGAAGCCAGAGGCAGCAGACCCCCCTGGAGCTGTGGTTACAGGCCATTATGAGCTACTGGATCACGGTGCTGGGATCTGGGTCCTCCCTAAGATCAGTGTGTGCTCTTAACCACCACGTCAGCCCAAGCTCTCAGACTTTTATAAGAGAAAAAAAAAATGTGCCAGACAGAACGGCACATATTTTAATCCCATCACTAGAGACAGAAGCAAATAGAGGTTTGTGAGTTTGAGGCTGACCCGTCAAAGCTTCATAGTGAGACCCTTCTAAAAACAAAACATACCCGAGAGCCTTAAAAACAAACAAAAATAAGTCAGGTGGGATAACACACACCTTTCTTTAATCCCGCCACTTGGAAGGCAGAGGCAAGTGCAACTCTGTGAGTTCTAGGTCAGCCTGATCTATAGAGTGAGTTCCAAGACAGCCAAGGCTGCATAGAGAAACCTTGTTTGGGGACAAGAAAGGAGAGAGAGAGAGAGAATCGGGACAGGAGAGATGGCTCCATGGTACCAGCAGCCATATTGGGTGCTTTCCAACTGCCTGTAACTCGAGCTCCAGGTGATCCAACGCCCTTTTGGAAAATGTGTGTTCACACACACACAGACACACACACACAATTATAAATAAACAAAACCCGTTTGCCTAAATCCTTTTGTTGTTTCTTTTTTGTTGTTGTTGTTTTGTTTTTTTGTTTTCTGAGACAGGGTTTCTCTGTGTAGCCTTGACTGTCCTGGAACTCACTCTGTAAACCAGGCTGGCCTCAAACTCACACAGATCGACCTGCCTTTGCCACCCGAGTGCAGGGTTTAAAGGCATATCTTGCAGCAGACAAAACCTTTGTGTTTTATAGCAGTACGTAGACAGGTATGGTAGTTTGAAAATAATCTCATAGGGAGTGGCACTATTAGGAGGTGTGGCTTTCTTGAAGTGGGTATGGTCTGTCACTGTCGGGGCAGGTTTTGAGGTTTCCTATACTCAGAAGATCGTCCAGTGTCTCAGTCGACTTCCTGTTGCCTGCAAGGTGTAGGACTCTCAGCTACTACTCTAGCACCACGTCTGCGTGCACACCACTGCCATGCTCCAGGTCATGACAATAGTGGACTGAACCTCTGAAACTGTAAGTGAGCCACCCAATTAAATGTCTCCTTTATAAGAGTTGCTGTGGTCAAAGGGTGTTTTCACAGGAGAGAAACCCTAAGACAGTAGGTAATCTTAATTTGTTGCATTGTGTCATAAATGTACCTTAACTCTCTTAACATGCTAGAGCATTTTTTAATTGTGTATGTATCTCATGCATGTATGTGGAAATCAGAGAACAAGTTGCAAGAGTCAGCTCTCTCCTTCCTTCTAACTTGCCAGCAAGTGCCCTTACGTGCTGAGCCATCTTTCCAGTCCCTAGGCTGACTCTTTTTACCCTGCCAGTAAAAAACCAATTGGCAAGCTGTGGTGGCTCATGCAAGTAGATCTCTATGAGTTCAAGGCCAGCCTGGTGTGCATAGTGAGTCCCAGGACAGCCAGGACTATGTCAGTCCTCTCCCCAACCCCAACCTTCCCCAAAAGCCCACAGTCTCCAGTGACAGCAATATTCATCATGAATTCATCAAAATCTACCAAATTCAAGAATCAAAAGAGACCATGCTGTAAATATAGACAATAGAGTGTAACTTTATGTCAAAATAAATTACTACAAATGAAGAAAGACCTGGCTTTGAAAAGGATTCAGATTCAGGTTGTGCTATGGGATATTTGTACACTGTGTGAAAATGTATTGCTTAAAAACAGAAAACACAAAACAAGAAATGTTAACACAGATGGAATCTGGAGTAGCTATGGAGCAGTGGCCAGCACTTCTTAGTGTAAAAGCTAGGACTAATTATCTACAGAAAATTGTGGGAAATTATGGAAAATAATAACTGGAACTTGCACCCTAAGACACTGCATGAAGAGCACGTTTCCTGATTAAATGAGTTCTCAAGGTATTTTATAGCATAGTTATCCAGCCCTGGAAAAAATGATAACGCTCGTAGTTTGTCAATAGGAAGTAGATGGCAATAATATAAAATGGCTCCCATTCAAGTCCCATTCCCTTTTTGACTGTTAAATGAAAAAAATAAAATTTGGTCATCCTCACTCAGCCCATGGCACTCTGGCTTCTCACACCCCTGGCCCCTTGTCTCTGCTTGTGCCACAGCATTCTGTTGGGAAGGAATTAACAAAGCCACTAAATAATTGTTCCTCTTCTATAGTGCTCTCCCCACCATTTGTTGTCATTTGGTTTTTTGCTTGTTTTTTGTTTTGTTTTGTTTTTTTGGTGACAGCCATTCTGGCAGAAATGAGATGTACTCTCACAGCTGTAGCTGGAGCTTTTCTGTGTCCCGCCTGGTTCCACAGCCACTTATAAAATAATCCCTCAGAGGCTTAATATTAATTATAATTGTTTGGTCAATGGCTCGGGCTTATTACCGGCTAGCTCTTACATTTAAATTAACCCATTTCTATTAGTTTATATTTTAGCACGAAGCTCGTGGCTTGCTTCTCCGGTGGCTGTTGGCGTCTCCTTTGACTCAGTCTTATTATTATTATTTGATTTTGATTTTTTTGAGATAGGGTTTCTCTGTGTAACAGTCCTGGCTGTCCTGAAACTCACTCTGTAGACCAGGCTGACCTCAAACTCACAGAGATCTGCCTGCCTCTGCCTCCCAAGTGCTGGGATTTAAGGCATGAGCCCCCAATGCCCCATTTTTTTTTTTTTTTAAGATTTATTTATTATGTATACAGTGTTCTTTCGGCATGTTTGCCTGCAGGCCAGAAGAGGGCACCAGATCTCATTATAGATGGCTGTGAGCCACCATGTGGTTGCTGGGAATTGAACTCAGGTCCTCAGGAAGAGCAGCGTGTGCCCTTAACCTCTGAGCCATCTCTCCAATCCCAAACAGTAGTTTTATTTGAATTCATTTTTTCTTTGTCAATACCGGATAGTCAAGGGTGTTAAACACTTAAAAAATACTTATTGAAACTGTGTATTTCCTCTTTTGAGAATTCTCTGTTGAACCCCTATTCTTCATTAGACTGTTTTCTGTTTTCTTTCTTTCTTTTTTTTGGTTTTTCGAGACAGGGTTTCTCTGTGTA